GGTCATGTCTGTGAAGGTTCTCATTCATCCAGGTCATGTCTGTGAAGGTTCTCATTCATCCAGGTCATGTCTGTGAAGGTTCTCATTCATCCAGGTCATGTCTGTGAAGGTTCTCATTCATCCAGGTCATGTCTGTGAAGGTTCTCATTCATCCAGGTCATGTCTGTGAAGGTTCTCATTCATCCAGGTCATGTCTGTGAAGGTTCTCATTCATCCAGGTCATGTCTGTGAAGGTTCTCATTCATCCAGGTCATGTCTGTGAAGGTTCTCATTCATCCAGGTCATGTCTGTGAAGGTTCTCATTCATCCAGGTCATGTCTGTGAAGGTTCTCATTCATCCAGGTCATGTCTGTGAAGGTTCTCATTCATCCAGGTCATGTCTGTGAAGGTTCTCATTCATCCAGGTCATGTCTGTGAAGGTTCTCATTCATCCAGGTCATGTCTGTGAAGGTTCTCATTCATCCAGGTCATGTCTGTGAAGGTTCTCATTCATCCAGGTCATGTCTGTGAAGGTTCTCATTCATCCAGGTCATGTCTGTGAAGGTTCTCATTCATCCAGGTCATGTCTGTGAAGGTTCTCATTCATCCAGGTCATGTCTGTGAAGGTTCTCATTCATCCAGGTCATGTCTGTGAAGGTTCTCATTCATCCAGGTCATGTCTGTGAAGGTTCTCATTCATCCAGGTCATGTCTGTGAAGGTTCTCATTCATCCAGGTCATGTCTGTGAAGGTTCTCATTCATCCAGGTCATGTCTGTGAAGGTTCTCATTCATCCAGGTCATGTCTGTGAAGGTTCTCATTCATCCAGGTCATGTCTGTGAAGGTTCTCATTCATCCAGGTCATGTCTGTGAAGGTTCTCATTCATCCAGGTCATGTCTGTGAAGGTTCTCATTCATCCAGGTCATGTCTGTGAAGGTTCTCATTCATCCAGGTCATGTCTGTGAAGGTTCTCATTCATCCAGGTCATGTCTGTGAAGGTTCTCATTCATCCAGGTCATGTCTGTGAAGGTTCTCATTCATCCAGGTCATGTCTGTGAAGGTTCTCATTCATCCAGGTCATGTCTGTGAAGGTTCTCATTCATCCAGGTCATGTCTGTGAAGGTTCTCATTCATCCAGGTCATGTCTGTGAAGGTTCTCATTCATCCAGGTCATGTCTGTGAAGGTTCTCATTCATCCAGGTCATGTCTGTGAAGGTTCTCATTCATCCAGGTCATGTCTGTGAAGGTTCTCATTCATCCAGGTCATGTCTGTGAAGGTTCTCATTCATCCAGGTCATGTCTGTGAAGGTTCTCATTCATCCGGGTCATGTCTGTGAAGGTTCTCATTCATCCAGGTCATGTCTGTGAAGGTTCTCATTCATCCGGGTCATGTCTGTGAAGGTTCTCATTCATCCAGGTCATGTCTGTGAAGGTTCATTCATCCGGGTCATATCTGTGAAGGTTCTCCTTCATCTGGGTCATGTCTGTGAAGGTTCTCATTCATCCAGGTCATGTCTGTGAAGGTGCTCCTTCATTCAGGTCATGTCTGTGAAGGTTCTCATCCATCCAGGTCATGTCTGTGAAGGTTCTCATCCATCCAGGTCATGTCTGTGAAGGTTCTCATCCATCCAGGTCATGTTTGTAAAGGTTCTCATTCATCCAGGTCATGCCTGTGAAGGTTCTCATCCATCCTGTTCATGTCTGTGAAGGTTCTCATTCATCTGGGTCATAAAAGGTTGAATAAATGAAGGCAACTGGACTTGCTGTATTTTTCTTGAAGACGTTTCTCTGGTCATCCGACCAGCTTCCTCAATTCTCAGGATCTTCTACAGATATACATGTGAGGAACGCTCAGTCCTGGTGTGCTGGGTGCCAGGATCGGTCATGTTGAGCTTGATAAAGGGACTCTAAGTGGCCCCGATACATTGCTACTCTTGTGACATGTCTACTCATCACGTAAAGATGGATGTTGCATGTATTCCTTCGGTGTGCTGGTAACAATTCCTTTCTGCATTGATCCAGGGGGGCGGCGCCATTCATCATGACCTCAGTACCCAGTACCAAGGGTTATAGCGGTCAGGAGTGCGGTAGGATACATACTGGACTGGGTCTCAGGCTGACTTGGCCCGGGAGGTGCGGGCTCACAGGAAATAGGTAGAATGGCACTGGTTGGTGTTCTCCATGGAGAGGACTGGACCAAGGGGGAAGCCGAGGGGGGCACTGAAGCAGGAATGTAGAGCTTGGTGGGAGGGGGGATCCAAAAATAATAAAACAAGTAGTTGGAGTTCTGCTTTAAAGGAGAACTATGAGGCGAGTGATTTTCAGCCTCATAGTTCTAGCCGGCCTGTGACAATGAGACTGTCACAGGTCGGCTCAGTAGATCGGGTCATCATTGGCAGGTTCAGTAAGAAGAAAGGTTCCTCCCCAGATTGCAGCATGACCCCCATGAGATACAATGTATTCCTCTAAAATAGAGTTGCACAGATACCAAGTACAGATACTTTTGAGCTCCAAGACTACACTAGAGAAAAATTCAAAAATTAGGAGGCGGCTGTCATGTGTAAGGAGCACCCGGAGCTCCCGGGATTTGTACATCTCTGTTTTAATGTACGATTTTGTTTTTATAAATATAAATAAAGGGAATGCACAAATACCAGTTTTGCGTTCCTTTCTCATACCAGCCAATGGGACTGCAGAGCTGAACTCCGGGAAGGCAGCAGTGACCGGTCTGTATTACAGGAGGGAAAGCGGATTTTCCTCTGCGCTGCGGGAGCCTAAAAACAGCCCGCACATCGCCTTCTCCCCCTCCGCCTCCTGACACTGCACCACAGCCAAGACAGCACACCTGAGAGCTGCATAGCCCACCTGAGAGCCACACCGCCCATCTGAGAGCTGCATAGCCCACCTGAGAGTCACATAGCACACCTGAGAGTCACATAGCACACCTGAGAGCTGCATAGCCCACCTGAGAGTCACATAGCCCACCTGAGAGCCACACAGCCCATCTGAGAACGGCATAGCCCACCTGAGAGCTGCATACGGCAGTTAACGGGCAGTTAACATCAACGGATGGTCGCAGGATAGTGGAGCTCCGGCACAGCTGAAATCCTAGGGCTGAATCCTTAGCACAGAGGACTCCCATGATACTACCCATGTGTGCCCCTGACCCCAGCGACCGTCGGAGAGAACGAAAATCTAAGAAAGGCCCTCGGAAACTTACTGAATTTTTCCGCTCGACGGGCTCGCCGCGGACTCAAGATGGCGCCGGCTCGTCCAGCACCCTGTCCTCTCTGCAACTCTCCGACAGCCGTAACGAGCGGGAGCCGAAAGGAGGTGGGAGCCAGGTGACCGCCAACCCGGCAAAATCCACGCCCAGACTGGACTCTGGGGGAGCGCAGATACGGCCTGGGGAGGGGGACGAGCGGTCTGGCCCTACTGTGCATGTGTGTGAGGAGATGAATAGCACCATTGAGGATTGTCCCACTGCTGATCGCCCCCTGCTGGACACTACCCTAGGGGACGTGCTTGTGTCTCTTGGGTGCTCCCTGCATAGAGATGTGCTTTTTGCTGCTGAGAAGGGATGTTGACGCCCTGGGAGACGGAGTCGTCCACGTCGAGGACAAGATGGGGGATTATGCGGAGGCCCATAACGATCTTCTCGTCTACCAACTGGCACAGTCAGGTTCTCCGTTGGGGATTAATGGCGGTTAAGATTGTACAGCGCTCCTGCACTTGTATCACGCTGCCGTTCAGAGGCGACACCCGGAGCTTTAGGAGAAGCTGCAGGCTCTCTACATCCGCGTCTTGTCACCGTACTGCTCTACAAAGATGGCGCCGGTGTAGTCGGCTGCCGTCACGACTGCTCTGCAGTCGTGTAAGCATTTCACTGCATATCATACTTGTACGATTGTGTATGTGACAAATAAAATCTATCTATCTATCATAGCCCACCTGAGAGTCACATAGCCCACCTGGGAGCCGCACAGCCCACCTGAGAGTTGCATTGCCCACCTGAGAGCCACACAGCACACCTGAGAGCAGCATAGCCACCTGAGAGTTGCATTGCCCACCTGAGAGTTGCATTGCCCACCTGAGAGCCGCATAGCCCACCTGAGAGCCGCCTAGGCCACCTGAGAAGTGCATAGCCACCTGAGGGTCACATAGCCCACCTGAGAGGCAGCACAGGGCACCTGGGACAATGGAAACATCAGGGCGCCAACCCAGAGTATGTAACTTCATATTATTTTGTATTGCTGGGATTTGTAGTCCTCTATAGATGGTCTCCTTACTCCTGGCTGCCTCTCCTTTATATTCTAAAAACAAAAATATTGCAGCTTGCGGAGACAAGACCAGTCACCCTGCACAAGGAGAGGGAGAAGCAGCGAGTGGTCTTTATTACAGGAGAGGGTGGAGACAAGACCAGTCACCCTGCAGAAGGAGAGGGAGAAGCAGTGAGCGGTCTTTATTACAGGAGAGGGTGGAGACAAGACCAGTCACCCTGCACAAGGAGAGAGAGAAGCAGTGACCGGTCTTTATTATAGGAAGCCACAAGTTTTATCAAATTTCCCTCAGTGTTCTTCAAGCTTTTGAAAGAGAAACCGTACGGTCCGTACCCAGCAATTTAACGTCTGATTAGCACTGCTCATGCGCGGATCTCCTCGGTGACGTTCCAGTGTGGGCAAAGAAGACTGGCAGAGAGAGCTTCAATACGTCATACGTGCGCCGTAGTTGTGGCAAACCCATGCACTGGGCGTGCGCTGAATGGCTCTCTGACGTTCCAGAGTGGGCAAAGCTGGCTGGCAGCGTAAGCTTCAGTACGTTTTACGTGCAGCGGAAGCGCGGCTGCAGATACACTGGGCATGCGTAGAACTCTTCTGACGTTCCATTGTGGGCACAGGAGCCGGGCAGGGCAAGCTTCAGTACGTTGTACGTACACCAGAAGTGTTGCGGACCATGTACTGGGCATACGTAGAACTCGTTTGACGTTGCAGTGTGGGCAGAGGAGCCTGGCAGGCCTAGCTTCAGTACGTTGTACGTACACCGGAAGTGTTGTGGACCATGCTGTGCAGTGACCTTCTTGCTTTCATGTGAGGAGAGGGAGCTGAGCTCAGGATGATGCTGAGGGGTGTCCTCAGCTACAGCAGGGGTGCTGGGGTCAGGGTGAGTACTTGGGGGGTATACAGTAACCTGCATGTGGGGGGGTGTGTGATATAACAATATTGTCCCTATTGAAAGGAAACTTTAGGGATAATGTCCTGGGGTGCTTTGCTGGTCAAGCAAGCAGGATAAATAACCCCTTCAGCTCCCCCCCCCCCCCCCTTTTTCTTATATCCATCAACCGGGGGGGGTTGCT